GAGCAAATGATCCCTCCCTCCCATCGCTATCAAAGAAATAGAATTTTTTAAATTTATTTTAAAAAATCTGGCATGCCTCCAAATGAAGTAAGACGCCAATGATGGCCGGAGACTTCTCTTAATTTCCTTTGTAAAGTATAATCTTTGGGAAATTCTAGTCGAAGACAAGGGAATCCTTAATCAAACGTTTCTGCTACAGAGAAAATCGATAGAACCTCAAGAAGCTATTGGACGGTCTTGCAATTTGTAAATTTTTGCAGAGGGGCTAAGTCGAGTGAAAGGATTTAAATACTAGTATTGAAAGCTTTTTTGATTGAAGCTGATGTTTTACGTGTGATTTACATTAACAGATGTCTCATAACTTTACTGAGGTTTTTAAACAGCTTGTTCCTCATGGGAAAGCCACTTTGGTGATGAAAACAGATCCGGTGGAACAAATGGTAAAGTGCGGTGAAATATTTCATTCTGGTGTATGAAAGGAAAGACATCGTGGCCAAAGAATGCCGCCTGAAATCTTTTTATGTCCTCTCTTTTGATTCTTGTATTGACACCTTTTTCAATGCGTGTCCTTCGTTTTTGTTGTACCTTAGTCTTTATTTTGTTTGTCTTCTTAAATTTGGTTTTCTTTTTACCTTGAAAGGTCTACGTAATGTCACATTTTTTAACCACCCTCCTCTCCCTTGTCATCGCTACTGGTCTGTTGCTCTTGCTTCCATCCCCTAATATACGGGAAAGTATATCGACAAAGCGAAGTAAGGCGGTTCATTTAATTCCAATTCCTTTAGAACTATTTCCAACTAGAATTAGTAAAATGTCTAAGGAGACAGGCTGATGACTTAGCATTTACAACCGCTTCCTCGAGATCTTCACATGGCAAGTTAATGGAATGACGTATTAAAACGTGCAATGTTTTTTTCTCTTCTGACCTCCAGGAAGAGGAAGAAGACAGCGAGGGTTCTCAATCACAGAGATCAGTGCCTCTTGTGGATCAGTTTACTGGAATAAGTATCAAGGTAATGTGAACCACAGTGTAAAGTTGTCTGAATGTGAGTTTATCATTCTTTATTTTGATGTAGAGCTTGTAGAATTCCCTTTATCGTGACCTGTTTCCTTGTTCACAATCGCCGAACGGAAAGGAGAAAATGCAGTCTCATTCGCTTAAAGAATTTCTTGTTTTAACACCGAATTCTCTCAACTTTCTGTGCCAGATTTTTGGAGTCACAGGGTAACGGTAATGCCGCTTAAGTCTTGCATAAATACAACGTTGTCAATGGTTTGTTTGTAGGTTTCTTTTACTGGGAAATCCGCCGAAACTCGTGAGATGAACCAGCTCTCCGGTGGACAGAAATCTTTGGTGGCCTTAGCACTGATCTTCGCCATTCAGAAATGTGACCCGGCGCCTTTTTATTTATTCGATGAGATTGACCAGGCTCTGGATCCTCAGTTCAGGAAAGCTGTTGCAGGTATTATGCTGACTTTAACTAATGAGACTGTTAGACTGAGGCTTCACTTTACAATCTCAACTCAAGTTCTTTATCACGGCTGTCCCTTAAATAGACACGTACACAGACTGACAGACAAAAACAAAAAAAAGACTACAAACTGACTGACATACAGACGGATAGAGACGAAAGGAAGGTCAGACAGACAGGCAGACAGACGGATGGACAGAGACAGACGAACGGACAGACATGCAGACAGACAGACTAACTGACAGGCAGACAGACAGACTAACTGACAGGCAGGCAGACAGACTAACTGACAGGCAGACAGACGAACAGGCAGACAGACTAACTGACAGACAGACGAACGGACAGACAGACAAACTAACTGACAGGCAGACGTACAGACAGACGAACGGACAGACAGACAGATGAATAGATGTAATCTATAAAAGCTTTAAACTTTTGTTTCTGTGGGCTGGTAACTGAGGAAGGGCTGTCAAAACCGGAACTTTTCTCTAGATTGTTTAGACGATAAGAGTAGATTTGGAGAAGATACGAGTCTAAACAGCCTTTTTATAATAAGGTCAGTTCTGTTAAGAGAAGGCAGTTGATAAGATATGGTAGTTAGGGGTGCGCTTAAAATCGTAAGGGTTAAGAGTTCCTCGCATAAAATGAAGTTTATCTTCTGGCTATCCTTAGCTTTGTTACTCATAAGAGGTTTTGGTTCTTTTGTTGTAAGAAATGCTCCGTAAATTGGCTGAAAAAGCTCAGTTTATCACAACCACATTCCGACCTGAGCTGTTGGAGTCCGCTGACAAGTTTTACGGCGTGAAATTCCGAAACAAAGTTAGTCATATCGACGCGATTACCGCTGAACAAGCGAAGGACTTTATCGAGGACGACGCACAGGAGAAGTAGACTCAATTCCTAGGCTCGTACTTGAAAGCAGTCTCTTGAAGAACACGCTCGATTTAGCGAACAGTCAGGTCACACATTTTAATATTCATGTGTACACAATATGAAACTGCTTTTATCTAAGTAAGTGAACGTTCATAGCTAACCTCTGCAAGCTTTGCGTTCCTCGTTATATTATTCAGAAGTGATTGCGCTCTTATATTATAACAGAATTATTCGTTAGAGTGCATGCGCAATGTTGTTGCTTCACTTTGTTAATAAATGGGACTTTTCAACAACAGTCTGTTTTTCGTTTTCTGAAATAGGCTTTCGCTTTGGAACCAGTCACTATTTATCGCCGGGGGTTGGAGGGT